AACGATTGATCCAAAAGAATTTGGTCAGGAAATACCGAGTGACATCAGAAGGGCTAGAGGGTGAATGAAAACAGACAGAACGGGATGATCATGTGCAATTCAAAGCTGAAGAAAATCGATTCTAAGGATTTCAACCTGAAATAGAGAACTACAGTGGGTGGAACAATGGTCGAGGGCTGCATCTAACCATGTCAGACCCTTTTATTATGGCAGTCTTCCGGATGGAAGGCGATTGTGGAGCCTATAAGGGCGGATGACCTAATTATGGGAGACTCAGACATGGAAAAAGGAAAATCAATATGGGTTGAGGAAGGGAACCCAACCACTATTTCAATGGTGGAACGAGCTTCAATCGAGGAAATTAGAAAGGAGACTTACGACTAAGGAAGTTGAAGATGTTGATATTTAAAGAGAGAGGACGACTATAATTAGCTTTATCACGTGGAGAGATACTTCGTTGTTAATGAACTAACAAAGGAAAAAAATTGATGACGACAACCATGTATTTGGAATGAAAGGCTACAGCAATGGAGAGAACAACATAAGCAAATCAGAACAAGTGAAGAATTCAATGATCGATTGTTGGAGCATTTCAGAATCACACAGAAAAGGGATTTATACGAGCAAATTTTTTCATTGATCCAGGAAGATTGTTTCATAGATTATAGGGAGAATTTTGAGATATTCTGGCCATGAGAGAGAGATGACAGAAGTAGTATTGGTAGGAAACTTCATGAAGGGGTTGAAGCAAAAAATTCGAGCAACACTTTGTCTGTTGACACCACGAGGATTGGGAAAAACAATTGAAATAGCACATTTGACTGAAGATAAAAATGCAATAGAATGATCTAATAAGAGTAGCAAAGTTAGAGTACCATATCTAAACGCTACAACCTTGATGGTACCAATTGGATTCCAAAGAGAGGCTCCACAGGACATAAATAATAGGCCACGATTGGGAGTGACCTTCGAATGCCTTACAAAGATAGAAATTCAAAAAAATTGAGCCAAGCAGCTATATTTTAGGTGCACTAAGAAATTTTCCCCAAGACATCGTTGCAAGGATCAGACTTTGCAGGTTCTCTTAGTGTATGACGAGGAAGCATGAGATGAAGAAATAAAGGAAGTTATGGTGGAGGAGCAACACCTTCACTTGGACATAACATAAGTCTGGTTGAACTCAGTGATGGGATTCACACTGAACCACACCATGAAAGTTTAGGGATAGATCGGGGAGCAAACCGTACTGGGGTTGGTAGATAGTGGGACGACTTACAACTTCATCTTCACCTAAGTAGTGAAGCAATTGGGGCTTGAGATGGTTAACAAAGGAAGCTTTGGAGTAATGATGGGGATGAGACAAGTGTAGAAGAGCAGTGGAGTTTGTAAATGGTTGATTTGACACTGCACTGTATTCAAGTGGTGGAGGATTTCCTTGGATCTAGAGAGCACTGATGCAATATTGTGAATGAAATGATTGCAGTCCTTAGGAGAAACTAAGATAAATTATAAACTCCTGACAATGGAGTTTTAGGAGACAAGAGGATTGTGCTTCATGGTGACTTTAGTTTGTGAAAGACTTTGGTAACACTCAAAACTATGGCTTGGGCAATTTAGGATGCAAGGTTAGGATTCTTAATCGAGTTGTATAACACAGAAGAGACACATTATTTGGAAGAAATTTTGACACTGGTCCAACTGCTCTTACAATAATTTGCAAAAATTTTCTTGTTGCCACGCGGATTGCCTCCTCCGAGATAACAAAAGCAAGTAATAAGTCGGAGGATGAGAGTTTCTACATCAGTGTGGGCCCATACTGCTACTCGTAGGTGAAGAATGACAAGATCAAGAGATTGATCCGAGATATGTTGGAGATAAAGAATCATACAACCTAATGTGAGCCACTTCTCTAGCCCAATATTGATAGTGAAGAAGGATGGGAATTAGTATACAACGACTCCTTAGAAGACCACATTAATCACTTGGAGAAGGTATTGGTAGTACTCGGTGAACACCAGCTCTATGTTAAATTTAAAAAGTGTTTGTTTGCCCAATCGAAGGTAAAGTACTTAGAATACGTGGCGTCTGCTACAGGGGTGTCGACGGATCAATAGAAAGTGGTAGCTATGTTGGATTGGCCATTACCTAAGATCTATAAGGGATTGAGAGGATTTATGGGACTTATAAGTTACTATCTGAATTTTATGAAAGGTTACAACTCGATTGTGTGTTGTTCATGGAGCAATTGAAGAAGGATAACTTTGAGTGAGGGGAAGCGGCAACTTAGGCTTTTGAGAAGTTAAAGAAAAATACGACAAGTGTACCAATACTACCTTTACCAACCTTCAGCCAACTATTATAGAGACAACTAGTTTAAGTTATGGGTTAGGCACAAGCTTCATGCAGTGTCAACGATTTACTGCTTATTTCAGTCAAGTGCTGACTGTGAGAGTTAGGATCAAGTCAGTTTATGAGTGAGAGCTTATTGCGATTTTGCTTGCTAGTAAAAAATGGAGACCTTATTTGTTAGAGTAGTGTTTTATAGTACGCACGAATCATCTTAACCTTAAATTTTTATTAGAATAGTGTATGGTGAATGAGGAACATAAAAAATGATTATCTACACTATTGGGGTATGATTTTGAGATTCAATATTGCTCAGGATTAAAGAAAAAGGTTGTTGATGCCTTAATGATTAATGGAAGAACCGTAATTGTTGGCATTATCAGCCCAATTGATTTTAAATTGGGAGATCCTAAGGTAAGAGAGTCAAGCAAATGAGGAATTGGGCAAAATCCGATCGGTTTTATTGAATGGCAAGAATAGCTATCCCGATTGTTCATTGAATGGCCAACGTTACTTTACCAAGGACACTATGCATCACCCCAAAATTCAAGACAAATACCAAAGTTGTTACAAAAGTTTCATTGCAATGCTATCGGAGGGCATTTGTGCGTGCTCAAAACATCCAGACGATAGCAACAAAAATGTGTTAGGGGAGAATGAGAAAGATGTAGATATGGACTCAAAGTATAATATGTGCCAACAACACAAGTACATGGTGTTAGCACCTGGGTGGTTGCTACAACCTCTAGATTACTGAAGAAGGTATGAGGGAGCTGACGATATATTTTATTGAAGGCTTAACTCGGTCAAAAAGATTTACGATCATCTAGGTAGTGGTGAACCGGTTGAGAAAATACACTCATTTTGTACCAGTATGTCATTACTATACTAATGCTTCTATCGCCATGGGTTTTATACTGAAGATTGTCTGTTTCTATGGGATTCCAAAATCAATAATGTTGGATTGAGATAATGTCTTCTTGAGTCATTTCTAGAAAGAGCTTTTTAGAATTCAAGGGAACATATTGAAGAAAAATACAGCATACCATCCATTGGCTGATGGATAGTCTGAAGTTGCGAATCAGAAAATTGAGACCTATTTGCGCTGCTTTCTATCTGACACACCCAAGCATTGGGCGAAATGGCTATGCTAGGCCGAGTATTGATACAACACATCATATCATACAGTTTCTCAGACCACTCCATTTAAAATCTTGTATGGTCATGATCCACCCCGTTTGGTGTATTATGGACACAATACTAGGTCGGTGTCTTTGGTGGATTAGTATTTAAAGAGGGACAAGGTGTAGGAGGAATTAAAGGGATATTTATTGAAAGCTCGGCAAATTATGAAGAAGCAAGCCAAAAAACATCAAGGGATATGCAGTTTTTAGTACATGATAGGTGTATCTAAAACTTCGAACCAGTTGACAGAAGACCTTGGCCAGATGCAGGAATGAAAAGCTCTCCCCATACTATTTTGATCCTTATGAGATCACTGATTGTATTGGGCCAGTGGCTTATTGTTTTAAATTGCCACCTTCGTTGACACTCCATCCAATGTTCATGTATCGCTGCTTAGATGTACTATTGGAGATAATGCGTCATCTTCTTCACTTTCACCTACTTTAACTGAGGATATGGAAGTTCATTTAGAGCCACTTGAGTTAAGACGGATATGCCAGGAACCAACAAATAGAAAAGAAGAGATGATTGAATGAAAAGGGTTGTGAGATTATAACGCTGTGTGGGAATCATACGACTTGATTGACCAACAATTTTCTTTCTTCCACCTTGAGGAAAATGTGTCTTATTGGAAGGGGAATAATGTTAGACTAGCGTCTTTCGCCTCTGACTCCAACGAGCGGAGTGGTCCCACTGAATCCACACCGAGTCCGCCAAATAACTCGAAGTCATATTTTAGTTTCAATACTAAAAGGGTAATTTAGTTATTTGTAACTTATTATTGTTTGGTATTAATAGGGCTTAATATGATTAAGATTGGGGTATTGATTGTTGTCTTGAATCTTAAGGTTCGGGTTTGGGAGAGAATAGCCTAACAATTGAATAGTAGGCCTATCATTTATGTATTTGGGATTGTATTGTTTTGGGCAATTGAATAGTCCCTAATCTCTGTAGAAACTTGTCCCATTCCAATCAAATTCATATGGCCTAACTTAATTGCCCTATATTGCACCTTCATCATAACAATCTAAGAAGCATCATGTATTGAAGTCCCTCCTACTACATAGAGGTGAACCATCCTTTTATTGATTTTTTAACAAATAGTGTAATTTTGGAACGGAGAAACATTCATTGCTTTTCCCTTTTCAAATTTTCTAACTAAAAATCTTACTTACTATGAACATGAATATGTGTGGATTTCTAAGATAAAACAATATAAATCTATTGCATCTAACAGGCCACATAAATATCTAACAATGTTCAAAAGTATTATATATCTTTAGACAACCTAATGAAAAGTGTTTTACCTAGCTTACAACTTGTTTGATTCTATTTCGAAAAAAGAAATTTTGTGCATTCAAATAAAACCTTAAAAAAACTTTAAGGAATGTAATGAAACAAAAACATAACCTTTACCATGAAGAAAGATGACAATGAAAGATAAGAAAATTATGATACTCTGTTCCATAAAAAGAAAAATACTTTACAGAAATATTTTCTCAGGTTATAGTATATCTTATAGTTTACAAGTTTGTTGTTGAACTCAAATGAGATTCAAACCAGCTAAAGATATCATTGGATTGTAAACTGGTCATTTCATGATATCCATATGCCAAATTTAATTCTTCTTGAATGTGATTAACCCACCGATAATTTTCAGATGAAAAATGATTTTCCTTTAAAATTTTCTTCCATGAAGTTGCTCGCCCATCCCTCCTCATGTAACCTTGGTCATCAATAAAACCCCTCTGGTGAAGCAACTCAAGCAATTGAACAAAAAAGGTATGATCCAACCAGGGAATTCTATCCAATAAAAACTCTGGTGTCAAGGGAAATTCCATACATCTAACTTCTTTTACATGCACGCCTTTCATCCTAAGAGCTTCCATATTCATCTTAATCAATTCCATTCTCTGCTTATCCTTTGGCATATGAATAAAAAGTGTTGGAGGGTAGTTGATTGGAATGTTGATGGAATCAAACACCCCTTCTGCAATCATAAGAGCAATGCTACTAAACTGCATCTCGGTGGCAAGTGCAGAAACAAAATAGCCACCAGATGAAGCACCAAGAGCCACAACAGGGAGCTTCTTAAGCTTGTTTTCATCAATCCACCACTTGATAATCCATCTCACAATTTCTTTCTCTTTTCCAAATGTCCAGCATTTTCCAACGCTAGAGATTGCTAGCACCGCAAACTTTCTATCAAGGGCATGGAGGACAATGAGTCTCTCTTCAGGCAAGCCAACACAATTTGGACAACCAGATGACTTGTCCCAAAAGTTGGAAGCTCTGCCATTGCATCCATGGGCTATCAAAAAAACTGCCTTAGGTGATTCGGGTATTGTCCACATTAAATCGGTTCCATTCATAAATCCCATAGAAGGAAGATGCTTGACCTCTACTGCAGACTTAGAGCTGCTCCATTTTTGCTTTGGGAGGTTCAACTGGGAACTGGATTCACCTCTGGTTATATAAATGATCATTACTGTGATTGCGAGGATCACAGAAAGTGAAAAAAGAGCAGTGGCTCTACATCTTTGTAGCCTAAAAAATGACTTCATTGGTTTTGAATTTCTCCTCCACAGCACACAACGCATTAAAAAGAAGAAAAAAAGAAGCTTCTGAAGTTTAGGAAGGTAAAAATAAAGGAAGAAAATGAATGTTGTATCTGTTAAATAAACAATTACAAGCAATCAAAATTCACAGAAGGAAAAGTAGTGGTGGAGAGGGATCCAATTGATGACCTGCGTCGCGTTGGAGCTGGAAATTAGGGATTTCAGATAAAATGAGATGGTTGAATTCATCAGAAACGGGGTAGATCTCTTCAGGACCTATACAACAAATTAGCAGATGATTAGAGTATAAATGCAGAAGTCAAAACCGCGGACATAGAATTCTTCGGCCAGTTGCCACCATTTTAATTTTAAAAAAGTGAAATATTTTTCGCAAGCATAAATAAGATGATGTGCATGTCAAAAATAAGTTATATATAAATATGTAAGGATTAAGTGGTATGTATGAAAATACCTTTTTTTTATACATATCTAACACCTAAATTCAATTATTTGCATATATTTATGAAAAAATAAGATTATTTTAGCCGGTATTTATTATGAGGTATGGAAGGATTAGGTTTTATGAATGTTAAGAAATAAATTTAGGTGTTTGATTTGTAAATACCTAGGAATTAGCTGATATGTATGCAAATGTGCCTTGTAGGTGTAGGTTTTTAAGGGGAGGCACGAACTAGACATGTACAATGAGTTAATAAACTAATCAGAATTTATAATATTTCTTACGAATAAATTTTAAAAAATGTTTAGCAAATAGAGATTAAATCCTGGTGATATATTTGTATCCTTCACAATTAAAAAATATTACTTCAATAAAATTTAGTAATTATTCGTAATAATTAATGTGTGCTAGAAGATTCACGATCGTCGAGTAATTGATTGTCGTCTTAGCATGGTACGAAAATTCAATACACACTCAGATGAAAGTAAAACAACTAGTAAAGATACCTTAATTTTCTACGTGGAAAACCCGAAAAAAAAAATCATAAGATCTACCTAGTTGAAGAGATCTACTAGAATTAGTGATTACAGTTACAATTATTTTTCACAAAGCCAGAAATTTGTTACACACTTTCTTCAATTATAATGTCGATATGTGGATGAACTTGTCTCAACGAATGGGCGATGACTGCTGATGTTTGATGGTGGCCAGAAAGTGTTGGTTGACGGTGATTCGCTGTGGTCGATAACTACATGAGTGATGATGGGTTTCAGCTCCTCCAAACTTTAAACTCTCTCTTCAGACTTCAGACTCTCTCTTCACTTCAAGCTTCCCCAACTTTTCAACAAGTATGACTATTTATAAAGTCTCAGTTGCAATTAATAAAGAAATATAAACAACTTTGATCAGACGACGCTGAGAGTTTTCCTTAATCAGATGATGTTTGATAGACATGCGAGTGTCTTAATAATGTCAGAATTTAGTGATCTTGAGCTTGTTGGATTTGTCTTGTCGAGACGCTAAATTTAGCTATAAGCTCACTAGATTTGACATTTGTTTGATCTTTCAAATTGCCCAGAAAACTTCGAGAAGTAGTTTAATGGCTTGAACAGGGTTTAATTTGGTTTGGATTGGACCAAATCTAGTACCATTGTGTCCCTCTTGTCGAGCCCTCAGTTTGACTGTAAGTTTGCTAAATTGGAGTTTTAGATGAGTTTTAATCAAAGTTTGAACGTTTCTTGCTCAAAATATTGTCTCAATATTGGTGTCAGAGATTGAAAATTTGTTGATAGTGTATTTTTTTCCCCTTATTTTTGGACAAGTCTAATTTCGTTGTCCGAACATATTGAAATTCAGAGCACTTTACATTTATCATGGTATTATTAATGTAATACTAAAAATTTGAGCGCATGCATGTAAAAAATACAAGTTTTGATCATAGAAATATAAACATATATGATTTACATGATATGTATGTAACTATTTTAAAAATAATTTCGTTTTCGTTTATATATAAATATATAAATGTATATTTATATTAAGAAAATGTGCACGAGAGACGAAAGATGAGGTGACAAAATTTTGTGGTATGAATGTAAAGATTAAAACTTTTTTTTTCTCGTTTATATATACTAATCTTTAATGTTTTAATCAATGTAATGAATGTGAGGGTAACTCATTCAAATTGCAAGAAGGAATTTAAAAAGCTATGGGAATTTGGAAACGGAATGGAATTTGGAAAGTCTTTTTTTCATCACTATTTTAATTGCTGGACTCATCTTGGCATATAAATAGGCAAGAAATAGAAGGTAAAAAGATGAGGGAGGAGGAGGAGCAGAAAAAAAAAAAAGAGGAAAATTCAGCCTAAGAGAGAGAAGAGAGGAGCAGAAAAAAAAAAGTTGTTCCTATCCACAAAGAGCACGTGATATGGGTCTTCTGTTGTTGAGTTGTCCTCTTTAGTGAAGAAGCAGACAAAAACCATCCTGAAAATTATTATTGAGCCTGCCCAGCAAGACCTCCATGATTTCTTTTCGTCTTCTCTCGAGGAGAAATAGGAGGAAGTCATCCTGAAATTTATCCCCGACCCTGCCTAGCAAGACGTCCGGGATTTTTTTCTCAGTCTTCTCCTATGGAGAAATAGAAGAAAATCGTCTTGAAACTTATCCTCGACACTGCCTAGTAGGACCTTCAGAACTTTCTTTTGAGGTCTTCTTTCGTGAAGAAGCAAGAGAAAGTCATCCTGAATGTGCAGCAAGACCTTCGGGATTTATTTTCGTGGTCTTCTCTCGTAAAGAAGCAGGAGAAATCATCCTGAAGGCCAAGTAGGACCTCCAAATTAACTTTTGCGACTCATTCTGATTGCGGTGCATAAGAAAGTCATCCCTGTCCTTGCCTAGTAAGTGACCTGAGATAAAAAAATTGTTCCTATCCATAAAGAGCACGTGATAGGGGACTTCTGTTGTTGAGTTGTCCTCTTTAGTGAAGAAGCAGACAAAAACCATCTTGAAAATTATTATTGAGCCTGCCCAGCAAGACCTCCATGATTTCTTTTCGTCTTCTCTCGAGGAGAAATAGGAGGAAGTCATCCTGAAATTTATCCCCGACCCTGCCTAGCAAGACGTCCGGGATTTTTTTCTCAGTCTTCTCCTATGGAGAAATAGAAGAAAATCGTCTTGAAACTTATCCTCGACACTGCCTAGTAGGACCTTCAGAACTTTCTTTTGAGGTCTTCTTTCGTGAAGAAGCAAGAGAAAGTCATCCTGAATGTGCAGCAAGACCTTCGGGATTTATTTTCGTGGTCTTCTCTCGTAAAGAAGCAGGAGAAATCATCCTGAAAGTTATCTCTGACCTTACCAAGTAGGACCTCCAAATTAACTTTTGCGACTCATTCTGATTGCGGTGCATAAGAAAGTCATCCCTGTCCTTGCCTAGTAAGTGACCTGAGATCTTCTTTTTCACTGATGTTGCACATTCCGGAGGAGATTCCCTTGTTACTGATGCACATTCCAGAGCTGATGAAAAAATGCTGAAGCTTTCCTGCTACTTTTTTGTGACATATTTTCATATTTCTTTGGTGGAGAACCTCATACCCTTGAAGATCAGCATAAGTACTAAAATTTTGAGGAGGCAATCCACCACCATTTGAAGATGAGTCGACCTCTTGTAACCTTCGTGTCAATCTTTGTTGGTCTTTATGTCTTTTTAATTGTCTAATGTGGTATTTATAGATGATGATAATGTATTTATTTGTACACCTTTAAAGCTGCTTCTGAGGTTGATGTGACTTCAATCATGCGGAAGTCTGTAATTAAAATTAGCACTTGCACTTTATATAAAAAAGAATGACGTATTTTTCATACTCATGCCCTCTAAGATTTGTATCCTCTTAGGCTTATATCTTCTGAGACTTGCGCCTTCTTTGACTTATGCATTTTAGGAGCTTAAAATGTGTTGGTGCATTCTGAAGTTTGCAGTCTTTTGAGGTCTTTAATGTACCTATGTCTTCTGAGGCTTCTAGCTCTTCGAGGTCTTTGATGTACTTGTGTCTTCTGAGGTCTGCAGTCTTTTGAGATTTTTGAGTTGAGGTTATATCAAACATTTGCTCTCTTGGATTCTTTCGAGTGAAAACTCTATCAACCATTAGCTTCTCATTGAGAATTGTCCATTGGGCTTGTCTTCCAGGGGCATGATAACTTTCTATCGAGTCTTGCCTCTTGAGCTCAACTTTCCTGAGTACCGTATCTTTCCATCGATTATTATCTCTTGGGTTTGCCTTTCAAGGGCATAGTAGTTTTTCGTTGAGTTTATCTTTTTGGGCTCGACTTCTAAGAGTATTGTATATTCCCATCGAGTCTTGCCTTTTAGACTCGACTTCCAGGGGCATTTTACAGTCTCATCGTGTCTTGCATCTTGGGCTTGACTCCCAGGAGTACCTTATCCTCCCATGAAGTTTTACCACTTGGGCTCTAATTCTAGAGGTATCGTATCTTCCCATCGAGTCTCACTTATTGTGCTCAACCTTCAGGGGCATGGTGGAGATCTTGACTGCCACTTGCCCTCATTGGGGCTGTCTACACAAAAAAAAATTGTGAGAAAATAGGAAAATTTCACTAAATGATAGTTTAAAGTAATATGAAAATATTGTTAGAATAAAATTAGGAGTTTATATTCCACTCTTTTACTCAAATAAGATGATTTTGAGTTGCACTTCTCATTCTATATCCCCACAATTTTCTTATGGTTCTCCTCGCCTCGTTCTTGTAAGTAGCGACCCAGATGACATTAGCATATTATATGTTCAATTTCTTCCTTTAATTAAAAATGTCTTCCTATTGAATGTCCTTTCATTTGGTGTAAATGACAATATTGAGACTAGTCTCCATAGTTTGGTTTATTTTAGCGGCCTTGGCAACTAGAAAACCTATTCATCCTTGATGGTCATAGGATGTTGACACTTGGCATATTGAGTGGCATGTATTTTTTTCTTATCAAGGCTCATGATTCCCCTGCTGTCTGAGCCTTATTCGTTGAGAGATTTGATTGACATCCCTAACATTATTTCTGTTCTTGCTTCCCAGTTGCTCAAATTGTTCTTGTGTGTATTGATGACATCTTCTTCAGAGTTTTGAGCTTCGATGCGATGGACAAAAGTGTTGTAAGAGCAAACTGTCTCCCACATCATTGATGAGTAGAAAGGTTATGTGTGGACCCCTCCAAGAAAACTCTTCTCAATAACTTAGAATCCACTCCAAAAATCTCGCGAGATTCAGTAGAGAACTTGCAGAAATATTACTTGAGGGATTCCCTCTCATTCTGGTGAACTTCAGATAAGTGGGAGGAATCAAAGATGACACCTCTATTTGCTATGAACTGCTCTACGAATAGTCTGATAAGCTCATTGAAGGTTTTGATGTTATCCCCCCC